ATGTTACTCGTAATAATACAGCTTACATTTTGGTACAGACACACGTAAAGCTGCTTCTAGACAAACTGCGTTGTTTAAACGCTAGTCGAAAAAGTGAACAAAAATGTTAATATAATGAAAGTGAATAAAAATTTTGTCGTGGTGGTCCGGTCCGGTCCTCATGCATGAGGGTGCGGATTCGAAACCTATCAACAGCAAGTACCAATGTGACTTTTTCCGAGTTATATGTACTTTCTAAGATTATTTAGACACCACTGACAAACGGTGAAGGAAACCTGATCTTTATAATTTATAATTATAAGTTTGGAATCGCCAACCCGCATTGAGCAAGCGTGGTGATTAATGCTCAAACCTTCTCCGTGTGAGAAGAGGCTTTCTTCAGCAGTGGGCATTATAGACTGTTGATGATGATGATGATGATGATGAAAAATGTTAATTGAAAATTTATCACTTTTTTGAGCCCATGCTCGATATCAATGCTAAATCCTACTTATACATACATTGGTAAAGGGCTATCTATTCCAATAGTAAATAGATCATTTGTAGTTGCCTATTAATAGAAAAAATCATTAAACTTGATCCGCCACTTAGGCGTAGTTGAGCAAAAAACATATGTACTTACAACAGCTTGTCATCAGTCGCCCAACCAAGGTACCTTTACTCACCTTCTACAAAAAACCACACCTAAAACAGAGCAGGGTTCAAAAACCTTGGAGTAATGTTATAAAACAATTATTCACAAATGATTGATGGAACTAAAAAATGTTACAACACCATCACACACGCCATCGCCATGGTAATTATATGGTCGTCAAAAGTTCATGTTTCCATAACCCTTTCGAGTGATGTGCCTTCGGACATTACAGCTTTGTTTAGAAGTTTAAATGTTGCATCTCAAATCTGTTGGCTTTGTTGGTATACTGTTCACAATGTTCTTGGGTTCGGTCGAGTGTATTTTTGTGATTTTGAAGTTCCAGTCTAACAGTAGGTAATATGAGCGGAGTTTAAGCAAACCCACCACATTTATCTGACCATTGCAAGACCAGTAAACAAGGGTTTAGTAGTGACCAATTATTAAAACATGAAAGTCAACGTCAAAGCATTTATTTTAATTAATTTTTGAAACGTCAAAAATGTAATTGTGCGTCCGTCTATCGGTCAGTAAAGCTAGGCGTTCGTTTGTAGTTTCGAATGGAGAAGAACGAGCAAGAAACTCCATCGTTACTCTATCTCTTATCTCCATCGTTATCGAAATAATAAAGTTGCATGTATTTCGGGCAAATGAACTGATATAAAAGTTCTCCCTTGCCTCCTTTTTTCAGTTTTTAGGAGATCTAAGTAACTATTAGTTAAAAATAAGTGCATCAATTAAATTCCTTGTATTAGTTATACACGAACCTATTTACTGTTGGATAGGTAGGTACAAACATGAGATGCTAACTGACCAATAAACTTTTTTTTCAAGGGGAAAATATTATCGAATGACTTCTCCCGTCTGGATGAGGTGGGAGGTAGTGTCAGACTCTTACTGACTAAAAGCCACTCCGTTCCTAATCCTGCACTTCGAGGCGGAGCCCCGGCTACCCGTTAAGTCCTCCGCGGCTGACCATTAGACGACGAACATGTTTTCATATTCGTTTCGAGCTACATAACCCTAAAAGCGGTTTACTTTTTATGCAGCCGATCAAAGATTCGATTAGTCATTCTCTTGTCAAACCTTAAATAATGTTGTTGAGATTACAACATCTCTATATTCTCGAGGATGTTCAATATATTTATAGTCCATTTTTGATTATAATAACTCATTCAACTGAGTTATTTTACCTTTCCACCTGTGTTGTTACAGCTATAGTTTTTAACTCAAGTAGTTTAATACTCCATGGTTAAATACAGAATAGTAAAATGTCATATAGAATAGAAACGTTGTCATACATAATACTTTATTTATTTATTTATTTATTTATTTATTTAACAACTTTGGAAGACTAACAGCTAACAAAACAAAAATTAAGAAATTGTGTGAGAGTCTGACAGCCAATGACAAGTCTTCACATATAAAAAACAAACTAATACTATAAAAGAATGTGGTCGACACAGTACTCCCTACAAAATTATTATAATAATAAAAACAAACAAAAACAAAATAAAAAGAAACAAAGTACTAAATTACTAATATATACCTACTACTACACATCTGAATACTACACAGACAAATTACCTCGCAAAACATAAGTTCAATCGCGTTCCCTATTATGTTACTACATAAAAAAAGAAAGACTCAGGCACCTCCTGACCGTAGACACTTTAATATTAAAAAGGTCAAAATCATGCTGCTTGCACACGCTGTTAAATTCCTTAATTGCACGCACAAAATACGAGTTTTGCCTATAGTTGGTAGAGGAGGATGGAACACGTAGCGGTGGAAACCATCTCCTCGACCTTCCAGGAACATTGAGAAACAATCTTGCTAGAATATCGGAACTGTCAATATTATTTGTTAAGATTTTAATTAATAGGGTACAATCTCTTATTGCTCGGCGGTCCTTAAGCGGTAGGATTATTATTTTATTGTTATAATACGAATATGTTACTTGTACTTTATTGTTATAATTATGTTACAATATTGGATATGTCAACGATAATATTACTATTTTTTATATTATTAAATATTATTTTTTTTATTTTGTAAGTAGTATTTAAAAATGTAATTTATAGAGAATTGTAAACAAATATATGGAATATTACTAATAAGTACAACATAAATACTGGCTTAACTTCCAAGTTAATTCTTATTTATGTTACGTTAATGACGTCATATTTTATACAAATTAAAGTTTATGTCTGTATGTGACATAAATGGTTGTGAAATGACAAATAGCATTGCTTAATTCGATCCATTTTTATTTGATTTCTTTGTACTAATACTTTGCTAGTGTTAGACAACTTAACTTAGCATATTTTGAGAGGGTCTTTTCTTACTTATGGAGATAAATATTTGTTTGTTGGCTATAGATACATAACCCTAGCGTTTTACTTCGAAGGAATTCGGTAAAGGGGTTTTTAAAAAATGCTCAGTAGTAGCAAAGAGTCTGGAATTATGCCCAGTTTATGGCAATAGGCTCACCCCTTGTTACATGGGACTCATAACACGAATAGTGAAAAGTGGGTGTTACATTGTTCAGTGGCATTAAGTGCCGTAATGTGCACGTCATGTGGCGTGATGATATGTTATGTGGATTCAGTAAAGTCTTGGGCAAATTCGACCTGTTTTCTGGACCTCCTTATTTACAGTTCATCTTGTTAATCTTGTTGTGTTTTAATTAATAACTACTTAGAATTAACATAACTATCTTACTTAACAGAATTAAATACGTACCTACAACTACATACACTAGTTTTACCACAAAAAATCTAACTTCTACTTAGGTGTAAGGTGATGTGATGTTATCTGACGAGTAAATTACCTGACAAACCTGACATAGTGGGCCTCCCAGTTAAAGATATGTAAAAAAAACTATTGACTTACGCCTCCAACTCTACTTATCACGCTCGCATTAAGATAACTATGTATTTACTTATGTTAATCTAATATGTCCCGAGGGCACAATCCGGACTAGTGTGAATAAATTATCGCTCGTTTGATCTAGATAGAACGTTGTTGAAATGACAAACCTTTTTAAGATTATCCTATACCTTAGAGATTTTTTTAAGGTCAATAATCATCGAGGTGGGCGTTTGGTGGGGGAGTGTCAGACTCTTACTGACTAAAACCCCCCCGTTCCTACTCCTGCACTTCGAGCCGGAGCCTCAAGAACCCGTTAAGTCCTCCGTGGCTCCGTATCGGCATCAATCCTATAGGGCCCCATCCGTTGTAGTCTGATAGCTTTTTGAGGCGCGCGGAATGCGACGCGCTGTACGCTCGGATCTGCTTATGGTCGGACGGCGAGCTACCCATGCTCGCCGACTGCAAGCCCGTGCTTACGGTGGTCGGAGATCGTCTCGCGATCCCCGACGCCGGGAGTGTCCTTCTTGACGGCTGGGTTGTCAGAAGCCAGCGTTTCGTTGCCTCACGCACCCTGCTTCCTATAACCCTAGAGATTGCAATTTAATGATATTCTGTAAACAAGGTACTATTACTTCTTTGCCCTCGTTGCTAGGATTATCTTTTTATATTGAGGTAGATCATTATGTAAGTAGATATCAGGGTGCAGAGTACAGACAGGTGGTCTTATTTGTCTGTTTATAATATACTACTTATTTTTACATGCTTTATTTCAAAATGGACAATGGTCGGGACATGTAGCCCGCAAACACAACTCGTGGTGCAAGGATCTGCTGGAGTGGAGACCGTGGGAACACAAACGTCATATGGGTAGACCGCAGATGAGATGGAAAGATGACATCAAGGAGGTAGCGGGACAAAATTTGATACTAGCAGCCCAAAATAGATCTAAGTGGAAAGATTTGAAGGAGGCCTGCATTTGAAAATGATAATAAATGTTAATAGGCTCACCCCATGGTTATTACATAGGACATAATTAATATAGCTGCTGAAAAGTCGGTATTCTATTCTATAAGTGCACCTCTACTTGACTTACCTCTTGGAGTATCTATTAAAAGGTGTGACATTATGTTAGGTTAAAAATGATTACCCACACGCACGAAGCGCTTCGCATCAAGTTTCCTTGTGCATACTGCAAAGAGTATAATGTATAGGAGAATACTAAGAAGTTGAATTCTTTGTCAGAGTCTGTGTTTCCTGAAGGATAAAAACCTAGGTGTCTTCAAGGCCCGAGTGAATAGGTTGCTTATGGGACGACGTGCTCCATCGTAGACCGCATCATCGCTTACCACCAGACGAGGTAGAGGTCAAACGTCGGCCCATCAAGAAAACATAATGATTACCCAAATGCATATTGGAATACTTTTCCATACCAAAATATACTACCACAAGCAGGTTCCACTTACATTAGCATTTTAAAGAAATAAAACAACACGAACTCCATCACTAAACATTTTATTTTACAGTAACAACTCTCACACTTTCATACAATAAGTAGATAATACTTATTACAATAACCATAGTGCAGGCACGAACAAGAATACACCACAGTTTAAAATATTCTCATAGAAATAGAATTCTTCTCAAACAATAGTCGAAATGTCAATATTTTATTAAATATCATAATATTTAAACTGTTCAATTCTTAGTCGTACCTCCACGTTTCTTGATAAACCATAATATTTATGACTTCAGCCAAATGGCACGAGTGACTCTATAGATATAGCTTTCTTAGTCAAAATACAGACTTAATAAAATAAATTCGATCATAGGCATTTGATCAACCTCGTAAAAACGAGAAATGGCGGCCTATCCAAAAAATAAAAACTAAATGTTAAAATATACAGAATCAGGTTGTAAAAAAGCTTAGAAGGAAGACAAATCCTAATAGGATTGAACGGAAACATAAAGATTAGTTCTTAATGAAAAGAAAAACCTAAAAGGAAATTGGCGGCAAAGTCTAGTCGAGTCAAATAACAGATTATATTGCATTTGAGATTATAACTTAAAAAATCGAATTCTCATAATTCCTAAATTATTTTTCAATAACATCAATCAAACAAAAAGTGCATATTTTATTAAAAATAGAGAGTTTAAAATTTAGAATGCAACGTGATTGGTCCTCAGGTAGGGGAGCGTTTGTGTGACGCGTTGTGATTGGCCATTTTACGAATGGCGGTCGGTGATAGGTCAGCACGAGCAGGATTTGGAGCCTCCATCCCGACTGTTTTCGCCGTTTGCAATCTTGTGGTCAAGCGCGAATTTGTCACCATCTCTGTTGTCGTTGCTCTGGAGTAGTTTGTCGTTTAATAGAATCTGAAAGAAAGGAGATATGACTTTAGTAAATTAATTGATAAAGTATGCAAATAAAGGTTTAAATAAGACTTCGCAAAGTGCAGTGCAGAAAGAATGGTGACGGTCCTCACATTAGGGGTAGTGACCAACTTCACAAACTTGCCCCTGATGTGAGGACCACTACCACTCTCGTCTCTTCTCCTTTGTGGTGCTTTTGCTAACCAAGAAACCTACAATCGACTCAATTTTAGTTGCATATGTGTTCTAAAATGAGCAGCAGCCAGTCTCTGGAACTCTCTCCAGAAGTTGATATCTGCAGAAGTTATTTAAACCTACATAATAATGGCTTACAATAAGATTAAGACCGTAGTTTCTACACGTGAAAAATTGAGCTGCAAAAAATCTCAACGAGTGTGTATTTATAGATCCAGTACCTCGTATACCTACAAACATAAAACCTCGTATAAAAAACAAACATGTCAACATCAAAACCTTCATTATAATTTCTTAACTACGTGTAATTAACGCTAATTTCAATCAACCATCTATTAATCCAAGGTTGCGAACCACGTAATTTTTTTACTAGACCTATCTGTTCATTCAACCTCTGCAAAACACATTCCATATCGTTAATGAAGTTTTTATTATTACAACAAACATGTTTTTGGACGAAACACATGCATAATTCAATAGTTTAATCCCCAGTTTAAAATATTTGATCACCATTTTTGACTAGCCTAGAAATAATATTGCACAATCTTAAATAATCAGTCGTTTGGTTAGAAACAGTTGATTTCCGTCAGCAGGCTTTTTATGGAAGTCTACCAATGTGGCCGTTAATTTTTTTTTTAGTCATACTGTGATACATATTTTTAAAACTTTATGATCTTTGAAAGTATGTGTCGATCGAAAGTAGATTTTAGTGTCAACAGTCCTTCCATTCAATAAGTTTACAATGAAATGGTTTAGAATATTATATGATTTGTTTTATATTTCTATTATAAATATCTATTCTGTTATAGGTAATAATGATTCATAGATTAATTAACTTAATTGGCTTGCATTGGAGATGCAAGACAAGAATCTCGATATAAAACCGAACCAAAAGATCAATAAAAGTTGACTTATCAAAGATAAAAAAGTCTGATTTACTGTAAAACTATATAAATCTTTGAAAACGAATACAAGTAATTACGTAGACAAGACAACAGCTAACTGACTTGCCATATAAGATATTATCCAAGCCCATATTTCAATTAAACCAAAGGGCAAGTAAAGCATAAAGCATACTATCCATCAAAAGCCTCCAAATTGGGTTTACAATTTGTCATTATGTACAGAAGTCATTAAAAAAACAGACATTTATAATGGTCGCCGCTGACATAAATTTTCCCGCCTACCATAGACTATAGTAAAAAACGATCGCGTTTGACGTAGGTACCAAGGCAAGGTATTGCTCAACATTTTTAAATAAGAAAAAATCTAACCGGAGTAGATAATAGGAATAAAATTATGCAGAGGGCAACGGTTTCTATAAGGTCATTTATGTAAGTAATCTTTTATGAATTAGGTGATTTCTTAATAATGCGAAGTTACATTCCATAATTATGATTTAAGTAGAATACTACTTCTATGTATATTTGATAAAAAATTGCTCGATAATTAATTTAGTCACCCAGAATTGAATGTTAGTTACTTAAATTCTCCTTCCCGTTCCTAGTACCATCATCATCATCATATTATCAGCCATAGGACATCCGCTGCTGAACAAAGGCCTCCCCCTATGACTTCCAGAAAGATATTCTTCCTAGTATATTAATAAATTATTCATAGCTATAGCTTTTTTTTTTTTTATAATCTCTTTATTTTTAATATTTTAGGGGGTTTTTGTCCATATGGATACGTCAACCCCATCGTACCTTATCTAATTAAATATACATTGTAAATGAAAGGGAATCATTAACAAGGTATGAGATAAATAAAAGAAAAGCTATGTCACTCTCACCAATTCACATAATCCCTTTGCGATCTTCGTTTTTGGATTTGCTAAAATGTTTTGAACTAGCCCAACATCTAATTTATTCAACTCATATTTTCTGATTAATGATTCCCTTTCATTATTGTTCCTGGCACATTCCATTAGCAAATGTTGTATGTCCTCTACTTTGTTGCATAGTTCGCAATTAGGTGATGCAACCTTCCCCATAAGAAAAGCAAACTTCGCCGATGGATAGTGCCCAGAACGCAGCCTTAATGCTAACTTAACATAATTTCGACCCAAACCTGCATCCTCAAACCAAGGCACCCGGGGAAGCTCATTCTGAATTGTCTTGTACCAAATTCCTTTTACATTTGATTTTTCATTAAAATAGTTCAACCATTTGTCATAACAAGACTGCTGGAATTTGGAACAATATTCCCAATAATCCGGAGTATACGGCGTTTCATTTTCCATCTCAATAGCAAGTTTTGACAAGTGGTCAGCCTCTTCGTTCCCTCGTAAGCCTATATGTGCTGGAACCCATTGCAATATCAGTCTACCTTCTTCATTATTAAAATGACAAAGCTGTTGGAGGATGTCATAGGCTACCGATGCACCTCTGCAACCAGAGACGCATCGAGCCAAATGTTGTATCGCGCTCCTGCTATCAGTGAATATAACTATTTTATCAAACTTTTCACTAATTGCATATACTATTGCTTGATATATTGCAATGAGTTCCAGAGACATTATACAAACTGGGTTACTTATTTTAAAAATAGCTTTATGCCCTGTATTTTGGCAGAAATAATAGCTATAGCTGAGTCTTTACAAACATGAGTATTAAATGTGATACGCTCATCTGAGTGCAATACGTACACGTGCCTTAAAATTCCCACGAAATATAGTCACGACGTATCAAAATACTATTGCACAATATTACAAAAAGAACAACTTCCAAACAAGATGCTTTGCCGCCGAAACTTTCCGTTAGGTTGGTATGCGAGTATAACCATAAACTTTAAACTAATGTTTTTAATAAACTGGTTTTGACAGAACGTACTCGTATGTAGTTTATGGATTTTATTTATTTGTGTAGGCAACTAATGTGTTATTAATTATTGTGACGGCCGATTTAATTTTTTTTAAATGCTTTGTGAAATATGGAAGTTATTTATTTAGAATTGAATATTGATTCGTGGCGATATTGAATAATTTAAATATGCAGTTCATATTTTCGATTGACATTAATTAAAAATGATTACTGATGCTACCGCAGAGATTTAACTTGAAGCTTTAATTTTGTTATATGATAAGTCGGTAAACGAGCTGACGGATCACCTGATGGTAAGCAATTGTCCGTGGAGACTACGAACACCAGAGGCGTTACAAGTGTGTTACCGGCCTTTTGGGGATTCAATGATTGGGGAGATTGGGGAGGGGAAATTTAGGCCTCCGGTAATCTCACTCACAAGACGAACCACAACGGCAATGTAAATGAAATTCATTGTTTATAACAGCAATAACTTTAGGGATACCTCAAGGAGCTATCATAGGACCGCTCCAAAAATTATCTGTTGTTTTTACATGTCACATCAAACCAAACAGTTTTATTATTGATCTGGTCTGTACTTTTTGCTACAACAGAAGAACAATGCCCCAACACGTAAATAAATATAACATTATCCAGTAGCAGATATACTAAGTTCGGTAGCTAAGATCTTGCTAAATGCAGCACATCATATCATCTATAATAATAATATTTAGTTCAAAAACTTTTACCTTATTTACTAATGACCTGGCTGCCTCTTCAATATTGATATTTTCTTTGGCCGACGTTTCAAACCAACCGGCGAATCCTTTCTCGCGACAGTACTCCTCCATCTTGGCTTGAGAGTTTACTATACCTTCCTTTTGTTGGTCGCACTGGGGAAGTAAAATACACATTAGTTTTAAATTTGAGTTCATTGTTGTTATATAATTTGCAAACATTAAAATATCCTCCTCCTCCTCCTACTCTTTTAATATTAAAATAAAAATGTTATAGTTGCGTTAAGAACGATTTTGCAATTTATGTTGCGCAGCAGCATAAGCATTAATTTTGGGACAATAGGACAAAATTAAATCTATGAATAATAGTAAACAAAATTCTATCTGATCTTCTGAATTGTAACCGCTGGTTGATTGATTTGAAACTACTGTTAGTTGATAGACCATCTACCTATCTATCTATTTCACACCTTCAATACAATAATCCTAACTTAAATTTTATCTTACCTTATTCGCCAACAATATGCAAGGTATGGGTGATCCGTCAGGCAGTTGAACTTTGGCATCCAGGTCGTTCTTCCATTTGACCACGGCGTCGAAGGTCGCAACCCTGGACACGTCGAATACTATGAACGCGCCCACAGCCTCCTTGTAGTACACTCGGGTCATGTTGCCAAAACGCTCTTGACCTGATGAAAGAGAAAAAGGTTGTAATTGATTATGTCTCCAGGGGATACTGAACTTAAACTGAGTAATCTGTAACATAAGATCCTTTAAGTATCTTCAAATTGAAGTACAACAACACGTTGTCGTTGTAAATGATGCATTTTATATTACACATTTTGTAGATCTAAAATGAGTACGACTAAAAGAAGATTTATAGGCAGCAGTAGGTGATTCTATAATAGTGACCTGATATTTTAGTTTTTCATGATATCTGTTTCACGACTTGCTTGGTTTCTATCATATTTTCTAAAGGCTTCACTACGAACCAAGTACTAAATCGAATACTTATATAGGTACATATTTAACTAAGCAACAATAAATATTAGAGCCATATAAAGAAAACCCATGATCATCATGACCATGGTGAACGCAATGTTAAAATCATGACATTCCTCATCCATTTTTACACAAAATTAAATCTCGTTTGCACAATAACGATAATGCGAAATGACATTTGTTTCGACAGTTGAAGATAAGAGACAAACGCGTACTTTCCATAGAGGTGATAAGGAGGTTTAAACTTAATTTTTATTTTTCTCCCGGCAACCGTTTAATGACCTCAAGAAGAGCGGTTGATGACCTCAAGAATGTACGGAATGTACTTAGAACTTTTAATTTTATTATTTTACTTAGAAGGAATCTAGACTTTTGTAGTTTGTAGTCAAGGACGATAAAAAAAGGCGGACACAGTCTCATGAAACAACGACTGTGGCGCCTGGCTACTATCGACATATACGCAGAACATAAACACATTGACACGAAGGACATCTGTCGTATGACATGGCCCGTCATTACACTTCATACATTACGGTGTCGCTAGTACACGCACACATAAAAATATACTACTGAAATTTTGGTGCTTCAATAATTTCTAAGTGGCATTATGCCTCGGGCACAATTCCAGTCTCCATGCTACTACTGAGAATCTTTAAAAAACCTAGTAATACTTTGCCCGATCCAAGAATCGAACCCGAGACCCCTTGCACAGCAGTCGCACTTGCGACCACTCGGCCAACAAGACAGTCTTGTCAGTAATTCAGGAATTCCATCTGTGAGAGTATAAAGAACCAGTATGAAAAAATTTCCATTACCAGTATAGAATTCTAGAAAATTCGATCTAATTATCTAGGAAGCACTTAAATACTTTCTCTAGTTTACTATAGTTTTCCTTAATAATAGATTGATTGATATCACCTAGAATAAACTGTTATACGATGATATAATATCTTAACATACACATAACAAAATATACTTGATAAAAATTATGTACCAGATAGTCCTTATCAAAACAATTCATGTTTTTGATAATGAAATTCTTTAGTTCTATCTGTGCGTAAAAGGAAGAGGCCAAAATTTATTATACGTCTTTGTTGGTCTATCATTTTGTCAACAGGAGATTGCAGATCATTTATCCTTACTAATATTATAAATCGGAAAGTGAGTTTGTTTGTTCCGCTTTCACGCCGTAATTACTAAACCGATTGCTTTGAATTTTTGAAGACGTAAAGTTAGAAGTCCGGATTAAATAATAGGGTACTATTTATCCCGGAAAAATTTGATATTCCCAAGGGAAAACAAAAGTATTGGTATAGATGGCACTGTATGTATTGGTATATGTCACATAGGCTACGTTTTATCCTTTTTTGACGCGAGCGAAGCCGCGGGTAAAAGCTAGTAAGGAAATAACTCAAAAGTAAAATACTATTTGTTTCATGGTTTTTCGTCTTGACAAGATATTTTACTCATCATATTTTAGATTGCTCATCGTACTCGTACGATATTCCCTAAAAATTATTACATCAATTAAAATTGAATAAATTCAAAAAAAAGTTTTACTGTCTTCGGACATTTTCCCTTCAAAAATATAAATACCTACTGAAGATCTAAACATCAGTATGTAGCTAAGTGTAGTAGGTACTACGAACCTCCTTAGTATGCTCAATTGAGCTCTTCAAGGTCTATCAGATAATGGGAGGAAGCTACAAAATGAGAAGGGCATAGTCACAGCGTATTATTGACGAATGGGAACTATGCCTACCAATAGAGGTAATAGACTGTCATCATGTAGACTACGTTGTGCTAATGTATTTTTTATTACGATCCAAGAACTTTTTAGCTACTGCATAGCATGCTTTGAAGATATATCTAGAAGATTTATCGAAGTAAGTATTAGAATCTATTTTAAAGTATATGTTTTGCTCGTTTAACATAATTAGCGTAAACAAATATTTCTTACGAATAAAAGTGCGCCATAGTTCAAATTGAGTCATTCAGTTCAGATATAAACATGTATAGCTTAGATAAGTAGGTCCAACGATCTAGCTGTGCTGTGGCACTTATTCTAGACAAACTTGCATCTATCATAGTGAACGCAACCTAAAATTGGCGCCACAGCACATTCACAAACCTACAGTGATCAAATTGAATAAAAAAGAATTGATAAGTGAATATAGTAAAAAATAAAGTGATTGGGTGACGATGGTATTTGACAATATTGATAGTCCATGATAAAGTAACAATTGAAATAGGTTAATTTCAATAAAAAAATAGACCATATTCGCTTAGCGTAGCTTAACATATTTTATGCACTAATAAAATTAAAAAATGAAAGTATTATTTAAAGTAATATTTCTGAACCCCTCACCTGCAATATCCCATAATTGCAAACGGATGATAGTGTTCGCATCCCAGTTGAGAACTTTTAGTGCGAAGTCCACGCCAATGGTGGCTCTGTAGTGTTGGCTAAAGAACTGGTGCACATATCGCTTGATGATGGACGTCTTCCCGGTACCCAGCTCTCCGATCACCAGGATCTTGTATAGGTGCTCCCTACGCTCTGCGCTGGGTGACGCGTGTGACTGGAACAGACAAAGGGATAATGTTAGATTTGAGCTAGAAAATGCCAATAGATCCCAAAAACGACTGTTCTGAGATGCACCAATCAGCTGCGGATATTGGTCCCAGTGACGTTTGTTCAGTTCAAATTGTATTTTTTTTTACTTAAATACTATATGTGAAATTTTCTACAATCATTAATTATTACGATGTAGGTGATTAAACCCTGAAGTTAGTAACTATCTATGGTTACTTATAAAATCTACGACTTCATGTACCCATGCGTGCGTGCGTGCTCCATGCTTATTTAAAACGCTGAGAAATTTACATAAGATGTATTATTTTAAAAAGCACTTTGTATCCAACCGTAAAAGAATAGAAGATCTTTGTTTAAGGGTATCAAAAGAAATAAACTCTTTAAACGATATAATGCAACTTCTCAAACTTCTTGAACACTAAACATGTAGACGTATATGGCTAGTTATAATGTCCTGACTTCGTGGTTTCAATTAAGAAGCGCTCATCAATGCAATTGATGATCAATCGACTAATTGATTATTACTGGTATATGGTGCATCTATCTGACATCAATTCTTCCGCATTTAAGTGCAACTCTGAAGTAGTTAATTACTAATATATACTTCGAAATCCTCAATAAAACATCGTTTCTTCGCCTCTTAATTTATTTATTTCTTTCGACAATTTTTGATCAGTTTTTGTGATGCAATATTAAAATATTAATTGCAACATTGATAAGCCAAATATGTAGACATATAAATGCTAAATATGGCAATGATAGTCGTTAGGTATACTTATTAGCTGATGATTCAAACAATCATTTGATTGGTATACTAAAAGGAGAACGATTATTTTTATCTTCTATAGAATACATTAAAACTTGAAACAATGATATTATAGCCAATAGATTTAAGAGCATTCGGCTATTAACGGCACTTTATGCTATTTAAATTAAGTATACCTTCTTAGAATTCATTTTTATGGGCATTGATAAATGTCATCGCGCGTCCACTTAGTGCAATGTCTTAGGAGTTGATCGTAGGTCAAGATATTATTAGTTATATAGGTATTTTATAATAATATTTAGTTTAGATTTAAGTACAATGGACCAAGTTGGGGGTTGATCATCATTAGGCGATTTTTGCAAGCAATCAACGTTGGCGAGCACAGGGAAAAACAAGCCAGTGCGGTGGATAGCGAGTTTGCCTCAGAGTTTTGTTTAAAAAGTGTACTACCACATAACCTTTGCCGATAATAATACCCGGTTTTTGGTAATTTAATGGTGTTTTTCCTAACTTCTACATTAAATGACGTTAATTTTCTTCAATTTTAGTCTGCCGTAAGTTTGTCAGCCGACTAAAATAATAAGTATCTACTTAATTGGAATGATACCTTTTTCTTTTTAACATTAAACATTTACCTTTATAATAATCATCGGAAGTCGTCAATCAACAGGAAAATGAGCAGACAGTAATCACACAATTCTTTGAATTTTATCATCAGACTGTTTACTTGAATAAATATATGAATGTTTATAAGTGACGTCAGTCTTGCAATAAGATAACGGCGTGGATGCACCCTTCGCCGTCATTCTTTACTGATAAAGGAGAAACGTCGAGAGAATACAAGTTGACTGAGATAGTCAAACTCAAACTCAAAAGCATTTATTTCAATTAAACCATAATTTGGTACTTTTGAAACGTCAACAAATATTAGTATTTTTAAACACACAGGTTTATGTAAAACTACATAGATTCAATATGTGTGTAGAAGAAATGATTCACAAAAAGCTAATACAGTAAAAGACTTCACATAAGGACGCCACAAAAAGACAATTTCAGATCATAACTGCAACGCAAGTCTAAAATCACAGACATAACAGACTAGTACTAGAGGAGTTTCCTAAGTTAACAAAATATAATAAAAGCTGCCTAACTATGTGTGTCCGAATATTAAATAAATTGCCGATAACATTAAAAACACTCAACCTCAGACTGTTTAAAATTAAATTATATGTATGGTTGAATGAATATAATTTTTATAGTATTAAGGAATTATTTGAACATAAATAATAATGTATAACTTATAACTACGAGTGTAAGTTAGGTGTTTTTTTATTTATTTATCGTATTTACAATAAGTACAGGATTATTCATTTAAAATAGCAACCAAAATCCACTAAGTTAAAATAAGTTTTAAGTTAAAATTTGCATGCTTTATTTATTAAGTAAAACATGTTGATCTATTATATTGTAACTATAACATCTTTGTATACCATGTTTTTACGCAAATAAATGTCTTTATCTTTATCTTTAAAAAAGAGAGCAGGCTATTTACCTAACGTTGGAAGTTGGTTTGAAACAAATGAAAGAAAAAGAGATAATTTACAATCTATTAGGCCAGAATAGACCAAAAGATCAACTACATAGTGCTTATTCTTAAATCATGATTAGTTTATTTTACGATCCTCGATTTTCGACCGTTTTTTTCACTCATATGCTGCTGTTCTCGCTCATACGCTTCCGTTTTATAAACACATTCATTAGATTAGGTAGTAACAAAGACAACAAATAAATACATTACGCAACTTAAAACTGGCTTTACAAGGTAGTACATAACACGGATACATTTTATTGGATTAGTTTATTTTGTAAATAAATGACTATGTCTTTCAAAGTAGGTATTACATAACATTTTAAATACTTACTTAAATGTCTATTAGGTAGTATCAATCATGTTCTATTTGTAGAAACAACATCGTAAACATGGGTGTTCTTGTGAATATCAAAAGAGCAATTAATTATGGGTTGAATAAAAAAGGTTTCGCAGATGTATCTAATGTATTGGTATCCGGTTACTGGTTGTTACAATATTCTCACCTAGATTTGAGTACTTATTTATTTTTATTTGTTAAATACCTACTTCAAAATTATATATAAATATAGAAATGATTGTTATCTATCCGTGTTCTTAACACATTATTCAAAATGTTTCAGGCTAATATGATATTAATACATAATAATATAATACATAATCCGCAACGCTGTATATTTTAATAGATAGTTAAAGTTACGCTTTCAGTTATTGCAAGGTATCTGAACTAAACTATGTATTTATTATACAGTTTGTTATACGAGGTGCATGGATAAATATTGACTTATACTATCTACTGTATATTTATTATTTGACTAAGTATTGACTCCTTGGAAAACAACCAAGTTCATGATCAAATCCTTTACGTACGTAATGTAACCGCGGTTGAGTATTTTCATTATGATTTCAAACCTAAAGAGAAGGTAAAAAGGTCGATTAAACTGTACTGCAAGCTTTAATAGGACTTTTAATAGGCAGCCATTTAAAATTAACGGTTGAAATCTTAGTATCAGTACCTATAATAGGTGTATAGGCCTAATGATTACATAATCGGAATATCCATATTGAGTAACAAGCCAGCTGTTGACTGAAGTACGTTACATTGTTGCGTAAAACAATTATCTAGGTCTTAGTATTGCTATCTTTTGTCCTAAGAGAATGATTGCAAGGAGACTCCGTTGCCGGTGGTGATGTGAGTACATAAATATCACGTCAGTTTACATGCCAGGCATTACGGACCCGCGGAGGACTTAACGGGTTGCCGGGGCTCCGGTTCGACGTGCAGGAGTAGGAACGGGGTGGTTTTTAGTCAGTAAGAGTCTGACACTCCCTCTCCTCTCACCCGAGCGGGAGAAGTAAAAAGATACCTACCTATACCTACACTTTTCGATCTCAATATAAATAAGAGTGATTTGACGAAATATTTGTACGTGTGTAACTACAGAAAGACTGTACAAAATTAGATGATTCTTTTAGTGTTAATTTAAGGAGAAATTTGGTTAATTCATTAATAACATTGTTATTTACTTAAACGTCTACATAATACGCAATTTAGCATTAGTAAGCCTAGTAAAAAAATGCGCATAATTAATCAAAATCAAACATCTTACAAGATTTTACATTTAAAAAAAACTAAGCGGGTATTGGGTACTTGCCGACTAGTCAAATTGAATACTCTTTTCGAACTGTCTAAAACAACCATTTTCTATGGATTTTGTACGAGTTGTATATTGTGACATCATGTTTTTTAGCACCAAACAGAATATTTATTTTATAATAATTTGCTAGAAAAAATATTTAAAATTAAGTTGGTCATAAAATAAAGAGATCAGTGTGATCATCAAGAGGTTATGGTTTAATATTTTATTGTATAAAACAGTCGAAGTAATTTATTTTTGAATAAGAAAAGTACCCAATTCCTCTATTTGCAACTGGAACTACAACCACATACGTAGAAGCTATTTTTACGACAACTAGATCAATATTATACCAGTACTAAACTGTACATATTACTCAATACAATATTATTATAGTGATAAAGGTATGAGAAAAATATGTTATGATTCATTGACTGTATCTTTGTGGGTCATTTTTATTATCCGACAGTCACTTACTAAGGGGATGTTTAATATGTAGGTAACTAAAATTCGCTGGTTAATATAATCATCATCATCATCAACAGCCTATAAGTGCCCACTGATAAGCAAAGCCTCTTCGCACACGGAGTACGTTTGAGCATAAACCATCATGCTTGCTCAATGCTGGTTCACGATTTCAAACTTATAGGTAATTAGAAATTATAAGCCCAGGTAGTAATTAAAAGCCCTCACGATATTTTCCTTCACCGTTTGTCAGTGGTGTCTAGATAATCTTAGAAAGTACATATAACTCGGAAAAAGTTACATTGGTTTTCGAAACGCACCCTCATGCATAAGAAGCACGGGCCACCACGACAATTTTACTCTGTGGTCAATGTAAATTTCATAAAAAGCATATACTACGACCTCAGGAAATTCCAGAACATTACCAGTTTAAACTTTAAATATCAATGACATCACTTCAACGAGATAAATACCGAATATAAACAATTTTTGGTACTTACCTATGCTTTAAAATTATCTAAATTAAACCT